TAACCCAAGTGCTACGGTGACAGAACGATCAAAACCTAATCACAATATTCCAAGAATTAATATCGCACTACCATAAATTCAAACTGAAATCATCATCAACACTACCCCCAATCATAGTGCTATTTCTATCAATCTCCACATAATCAAACATCTCCAATTTCATTCTTATATCACAAACTAAACCTTTAAATCCCGTTAATCGTTAACCCTCTGTGTGTGAACAGTGCCTATGAACAGTACCCAGTGAACTGTACCTCGTGAACAGTAACTTCAACTCCCAAAATTAACAAAACATAGCTAATTCACGGGGTTTCTCTCCAAAATCTCACAACAGTCATAACAAGCTAATTTTCTACTTAAACCACACTTAAAACATAGCTTAAAGCTACCAAAATTCATTCCAATTTCCCGGACAAGCAATGGAGACCCACGGCCTTGGCCAACAATGGCTAAGTCACGGGATTACTCCTACACAACATCACAACAGCCTAATTAACAAAATTCCTACATAAACTAAGCACAAAACACATTTAAAATGGCTGCCAAATTCATCCCCTATCCCAGCAGATTTGGACAACACAGAGCATCAACTAATGGACAAAACCCAGCAATTAAATGGGTAATTTTAAGCTTGGAAAAGCCGACAACTTACCAAAATTTAGCAAGCAAAACCGAGCCTAGCAGGGGGGGAGAAGCCGACGGCAGAGAAGAAGAAATTCTGCAGGGGAACTCGCGGCTACCCAATCCAAAAACCAAAACACAATTCAAGATAAACCCAAGCCTAAATCAAGAGAGAAAAGGGAGATTCAGGGCTGTTCTTACCGAAAAATGCCCAGAAATTTCAAACCCACAAGTTGAAGCCGACGGACAGCAGAGGGAGGAAGACGCAGATCTGGGATTTTCTGGGTTCAACAGGTGTTCTAAGACAAGAAAATAGGGAGAAATCCCCAAACTTTGCCGGATTTCCGGCCGAAAAATGGGTGGCGGTGGCTGGGGGGTTCGTCGGCTGCAGAGGGTCGGGGGAGAGGAAGAGCAGGGCACGCGGGTCTGATGGGGAGGGAAAGAAAGAAAGAAAAAGAAAAAGGAAAAGGAAAAGCAGTCAATCCTTATCCTAATTCCTTTCTTTTAAGTCCCTCAACTTTTAAAGATTTTACAATTAAGCCCCAAAACAATATTTTTCTTCAAATAAGTCCCCAACCAAATGCTAAAATACCCCAAAATTTTGGGATATTACACATACTCTACTCAATGCAAATGAAAACAATTTCATTTCAAACCAATCATGCTCGGTGCTAATAAAATCAATTTAAACCTTACCACCATCTCAAAAACAATTTAAAACATGCTTTGAAATCGAAGGCGTTACCATAATTTACTTACCTCGATCACCTAACATAGAAAATTCACTCCAAGTGCTGGGGTGATAGAACAATCAAGAACCTAACCAAAGCCTCATTGTTCCCTCCCAATTGAAACACGAGATTCCTAGGGAAAAGAATATAACATTCAACAAGCAATCCATTTTTCAATTATAAACCAGTTAACCTCTCGCACCCCCATCTACTGCCATATTTATTTCCTTATTATTATTTTTATTTCCAAGATTTGAGCACTAAAAGCAAATTGTGCACACACACACACTTATATACATACACATTTATAAAATTGTCCAATCTCCCGGACAAGAACATGAAGACCCACGGCTTTGGCCAAAAATGGCTAAGTCATGGGATTTTTCTCTATAAAATTCACAGCAGCCAAATTAAGCTAATCTCTACTTAAATTAAACAAAAAACACCATTTAAAGCTATCAAAATTCTCCTATCTTCCAACATAATTTTCGGACAGCACAAGGGTAGCACTAAGTGGATTAAACTTCAACAAGCAGCAATTAAGTGGGTAATTCGGACTTAGAGGAGTGGCCATCATACCAGAATTTTTCCAGCTGCAGAACCGGACCTGGCAGGGCGAAGAGGCCGGTGGCAATTCTACAGGGGGACTCACGGAATTAACCCAAAATTGGAAGAACAAACCATATTAGGGTGAACCCAACATCAATCAAGGTTAAAGAGAGGAGTTTCAGGGCTAATTCTTACCGAAAAGACCCAAAATTTCACACCCACACACCCACAATAGCTTGCCGATGGGAAGGAAGAACAGAGCAGATTGGCAATTTCCAACTTTAGAGGGAGGGTTCTAAGTCCCACAGCTTGTTCTTGCACAACAAGGAGGGGAAAATATCCAAGTTTTGTCACCAATTTTCAAGGAGGAAGTCGGCGGCTGGGGAGGGGCTTGTTGGGGAGAAAAAGAAGAAGAGCAGGTCGCGGTTCTGATGGGGAAGAAAAGAAAAGGAAAAGAAAAAGCAGCTGATCCTTATCTCATTTCCTTTCTTCTAAGTCCCTCAACTTTGGAGTTTTTAGCTATTAGGCCCCAAAACGATATTTCTCCCAAAATAAGTCCCCTAACTTAAATGATAAAATTTTCAAAAATTTGAAATATTACATTCACCCCTCCTAAAAGGGAGTTTTGTCCCCAAAACTCAAATCTAGGATCATTTCGAGTGGTGAATGGCTTCACACAATCCAAAACAAAGCAAATGCCTCACCAACTCTTTATGAACAGAACATGACCTACTACGCTTCCACTGCGCCACTTCGATAACAACCACAACTACCATGAAAATAACACCACCTCAAGGATAGTTCCAAGGTCAAAACATCAACAGAATCAACCAAATTTTCAAGCAAAAAAAAAAATGACAGAAACTGTAATATCCCAAATTTTCAAGAATTTTATCATTTAAGTTAGGGACTTATTTTGGAAAAATTATTATTTTGGGACTTAATAGCTAAAATTTCCAAACTTGAGGGACTTAAAGAGGAAAATTTTGGATAAAGATCAGCTATTTTTTTCCTTATTTCTTCCTCAGCCATTTCGCGTTTCTGCTTTTCTTTTCTTCCCCCCGCACCGAGCAAGGAAGCCCAGCCCCGATGCACCTCCCCTTGAGAACTGGTAAGAAAAACTTGACATTTTCCTTCCTTTTCTTGTTCAAGAACCAGATTTAGGCTTGGAAATCCCCCCCTCCCTGCAGAAAAATCCCGGTTCTGCTCTGCTCTGTTTCTTCCATCTGCTGCTCCTGCTTTGTTGGGGCGAATTGGTCTGGTTTCTAGTAAGAAACATCCATTATTTCCTCTGTTCTTCCTTGAATTTAACTTGGATTACTCTAAGTTCCTCTTGTTCCTTCAATTTTAAGGTAGATCCGTGAGTTTCCCCTGCAGATTCCATCGGCTTCCCCAACCCGCCAGCTCTAATTTTGTTTGCTGGAAAAATTTTGGTATGTTGACAGCTCCTCCAAGCCTAAAATTTCATCAATTAATTGCTGCCTGTGCTATCCGAAATTCTGTAGTAATTAGGGGATAATTCCGGTAGCTTTAGGACAAAATTTAAGTATGGATTCATCATTCAAGTAGAATTTATGTGTTTGAGTGTTAATTGACTGTTGTGAGATTGTGGAGAAAATCACGTGAGATTAGCTATGGTTTTGCCAATTTTTGGAAGTTGTAGTTACTGTTCATGGCGTAATTACTGTTCATAAGTACTGTTCACAAGTACTGTTCACAAGTACTGTTTACGCACTAATGGCCAACAATTAACGGGGATTAAATGTTTAGTTTGTTATATAAAAACAAATTTGGAGATGTCCAGTCATAGGGAGACTAATAAAAATAGCATCGTGATTAGAGGTGATCCTAATGAAGTTTTCACTTTGAATTTGTGATAGTATGGTATTAATTCTGGGGTATTTTGATTTGGTTCTTGAGTGTTATGTCACCCGAGTACTTGGCTTGAGTTTCGGATTTGAGGTAAGTAAATTATGGTAACGCCCTTCGATTTCAAAGCATGTTTTAAATTGTTTTTGAGATGGTGGCAAGATTTAAATTTTGATTTTATTAGCATTGAGCATGATTGATTTGAAATGAAATTGTTTTCATTTCTCATTGAGTAGAGCATGCCCACTTGGAATTTATTGACCTGCTCTGATGATTTGAGAATTTTAGTAAATTCTGATTTTCTTGTTAAATCCATGCCCACATGGAAATTTCTGGTTTATTTTTGAAATTTAAGATTGATTGTGAATTACGGATTTTTTTGTAAATCCTACATGGTTTTGTCTTTGATATAGTCATGATTATTGTGCCCGCTAGTGGGAGGTTTATAAACGCTAGCACATGTCAACATGTTTACTGATAGGACCAGTTCATTCTGTAATCCTACCAATGGGATAATACATTAGTTATTACTGAAATCCTGCCAATGGGATAAAATATTGGTTACTACTGTGCCCGCCAGTGGGAGATTTATAAACGTTGGCCATGACTTATAGATGAGACTACTACTGAATTTTTTTCTGCATTAATGGTTTGTTATTGAATGCTTTGTTATTGAATTGAATCTGATTTTGTATTAACGGTTTATCATTGAACGTTTTGATATGTTAAACTGTTTATCAGGAATGTTAAAAATTTTATTCATGGGCTATCCGTATTTTTACTTACTGAGATATTTTATCTTATAGTTTTCCTTGTCCACCATTTCAGGTAGTATGACCCGAGGACGAGGAAAAACGAGGGGAGTGACGAGTTAGATGGCTAGCCATCTTGTAAATCGAGCATAGAGTTTAGATATAAATCATGATCTTATAAGCTAGACTTTATTTGGAGATTTTTGAAATCAGAGCAAATTTTATAATTTTATCTTCAGATTTTGTGGTATCAGATTGTGGTATGATAAAGTTTCAAGCCTTGTGCATTTGTGGGATCCTCTCACAAGTGTACGGCATCTGCCATGTCCCCGGATTTGGGTTCTGGGGCGTGACAGAAACAGTGATAACCAGACCCTCTATCTTACCCTTTTTAAGATAAATGTCGAGGCTCAAATCTACTAGTCATTAAATTTCAGTGTCACAATTACAAAGAAATCAATTTCAAGATACACGGCTAACAATTACAAAGATACAATGGTCAGATTCACTTCACAGGGAATGAGTACTCATCACTACCCTAACAAGCCAACAACAAATCTCAATCTCCACCCTCCCCAATGGCCATTTGGGAAGCAGGAGATAACTTCACACCTCAACATAAGTAACTACACTCGAGGGTTATCGGCGTGATTATGTGGTGCCCTCAACCTAAATCAAGACCCCGCGCCCATCAAACACAACAACATGGCAAGGAATCTAATGATTAGTACAACTAAAAGATGAAACCCTATCTGAGACGGATAAACATCCCTTGGATATATAAGATCATGAATGGATGAATGCATTCATATGTATGTATGAATGAATGCCTATGTGCGTGCATGTATGAATGCCCATGTGTGCATGCATGTATGCATGTATATGCTCATGTATGTCTATGTTTGCATTCATATATGAATGCCTAAATGAATACTTAAACAAACAAACCTAATGTAGAAGGCCTTATACATTTTGCCACAACCCAAGATTAATCAATAATCAGATCATGTTTAACTAGGCAACTATTTTTCTCAAGTCTTGCATCAATAAATCAAAATGTAATTCATCACATTTTGATTCCAAGAGAGGACTTCAGGCTGCTGTAACTTCTTACTAGAGTTTAGCGTGCAGAGACACTCCAAATCACAACTTATAGGTGGCAGACAAAGAAAGAAATTGATGAAGGAGCTGCAACTAATTTTAACACCCAATTTTAATCTTATGCACGCAAAATGGTGGAGCATCTAACAGCTAAAATAGCAACTCAAATGAACTTGAACTTAGCCTAAAATAGACCAGAAATAGCTGAATAAAAAGACAAAATACTGGTCTGATTCTAAACACAAAGGTTACAACAAAATTTTCTCCTTGAAAATGGCAGAACTGGTTTGAATGCTTAACTGAAAAATTAAAGCTCTATCTCTTAGCTTTCTACAAAACCAGGAATGGCTTTAATCCAACATTTACAGAAGAAGTTATGTACATAATACTACTCCAAGGTCAAGCTGCCAGAATTCAAATCAATTTACATATGGATTGAGCTGGAAATTTTTTGAAATTAAGGTAGTTCCAAACCAGAGTTTAGTAAAAATTCCATGACAATTTAAGACTAAGACAAAGGAACAATAAGCCTTAAACACACCTAGAACAACGCAAAAATGAGCTCAAAACAACAACTTCAAGTATGGGCATCTAGAAGCAAGTCTAGGCAAAAACATTTGGTAGATTATTTACCAGGAAAAATTTCTACCCATGTGTGGAAAAACCATCTCCTTTCCTGCAAGAGCATCTGGATATGTACTAAAACTAAGTGGTGTCAACCACAGCCTAGACATTGGCATGACATAGACATGTATAATATATAGACTCAAATCCCATAAGGATTTCAATCAAAAAAGCATGAAAATTCTTGATTGATCATTGTCGCTTCACATCTAAGTTCATTACACAGGCAAACCAAGTTATCCACGCAAAAATCATCAAATATCAAACAGATATATTGAACCAAAATCATAAGATTGAAGCAAGAGAAATGAACCAAATTAATTACCGTTATGAATGCAAAATGACTCGTTTTAAGTCTGAAACGGGAGCTTACAAGCATCTTCACACACACTGAAATCATCAACAGCTCCAAACACAAATTCCAGATTTATCATTATCAGCTCAGTTCATTATCTAAACAAAATTTTCCAGAACTAGCTCAAAATCACCAAGATTTACAATTAAAATCGTCCCTTGTATAACCCCATCACTTGTCTCACCATGGTTCTAAAATCCATTGGCTAGCCAAGTTCAAAATAAATCCTAGGTATTTAATTAAACCTGGACTTTGATATCACTTAATCTCAAGATATTTAATTTAACCCTAAGCTTTGATACCACTTAATCTGGAGGTGCTTAATTTAATCCTAAGCTCTTAATTTAAACCTAAGCCCTAATACCACTCAATCTGTCACGCCCCAGAACCCAAATCTAAGGACGTGGCAGACGCCATACACTTGTGAGAGGGTCCCACAAATGCACAAGGCTTGGAACTAATCATACCACAATTTGATACCACAAAATCTGAAGATAAAATTTTAAAATTTGCCCTGATATCATAAAATCTCCAAATAAAGTCTAGCTTACAACATCATAATTTATATCTAAAACCTATGTTCAATTTACAAGATGGCTAGCCTTCTAAGTCGTCACTCCCCTCGTTTTTCCCCATCCTTGACTTCGCTTCCTGAAATGGTGGCAAGGAAAAATTATGAGATAACTTAGTAAGTAAATATGGATAGCCCTTGGGTAAAATTTTTAGCATGCCTGATAAACAGTTTAACATAACAAAACGTTCAATGATAAACTGTTAATACAGAATCAGATTCAGTTCAATAACAAAGCGTTCAATGACAAACCATTAATGCAGAAGAAAATTCAGTAGTAGTCTCATCTGTGAGTCATGGCCAGTGTTTAACAAACTCCCACTCGCAGCCGTCGGTAATAACCAGTGTTTAACAAGTCCCACTGGCAAGCTTCAGTAATAACCAGTGTTTAACAAACTCCTACTGGCAGGCGTCAATAATTACCAATGTATTCACCCATTGGTAGGCGTCAGTAATTACCAATGTATCATCCCATTGGCAGGATTACAGAATGAACCGGTCATATCAGTAAACTTGTCAACATGTGCTAGCGTTTGCAAACTCCCACTGGCGGGCGTCAGTAATCAGTAATCATGACAATATCAGAGACAAAACCATGCAGGATTTACAGAAAAATTTGTAATTCACAATCAATCTCAAATTTCAGAAATAAACTAGAAAATTTCCATCTGAGCATGGATTTAACAAAAAAACTCAGAATTTACAAAATTTTCAATTCATCAAGGCAGTTTAGTCAATTCCAAGTAAGCATGCTCTACTCAATGCAAATTAAAACAATTTCATTTCAAACCAATCATGCTCGGTGCTAATAAAATCAATTTAAACCTTGCCACCATCTCAAAAACAATTTAAAACATGCTTTGAAATCGAAGGGCGTTACCATAATTTATTTACCTTGGTCACCTAACACAAAAAATTCACTCCAAGTGCTGGGGTGACAGAACAATCAAGAACCTAACCAAAGCCTCATTGTTCCCTCCCAATTGAAACACGAGATTCCTAGGGAAAATAATATAACATTCAACAAACAATCCACTTTTATGTACCAAAAAAAAAAAAAACAAACAATCCATTTTTCAATTATAAACCACTTAACTCGCACCCCCATCTACTGCTATATTTATTTCCTTATTATTATTTTTATTTCCAAGATTTGAGCACTAAAAGCAAA